GTTTTCCTCCATTGGAAACCTAAAGAACCAATTAGTTTCTTTTCCTAGCTGTCAGAACAGTACTTTCTCTACTTTACAGGGGAAAGAAAAAAAACCTTGCAAATATGTAAGTCGCTATTCTAGTAGTCAGAATTACAAGCAGTTAACAGGACCTATAGGAAAAAAATTTTTTACCATAAAAACAAGGATGGGTCTAAAAGGAAGAGGCCTATTTTCAGTAGTGCTGAGTGCCTACAACTGCTATTGGCATAACTAGCAATTGTAGATGCTTGACAGCTTAGACGCTCATGCCATGCTTATTTCAATGATTAAAATTACACATTTAAATTCATACTTCGGCAGCAAACACTGTATTAGCACCCTTTAAATAGAGATTAAAGAATCTATTCTGGGAACTGGGTCTGATGCTAGTCAAAATAAGGAGCTAAGTCCTCTTCTCACTTTGATTGATTATCCTGGGTGAACACTTGGGCTATGTCTACTCTACAAGGTTTGTGTGTAAAAAGAGGCAGAATATCCACACTTCAAGTGCATTTTTGTGCAAAAAAACCCAAACCAAAACAGTAAATCGACAGGACAGAGGACTTTTGCCAGTAGAGTTATTCCTCTCCCCACGAGGAATAACTCCTTTGTGCGCTATAGATCTTGTGCAAAAAGGCATGTGTGGACGCTCCACAGGGGTTTCTTGTGCAAAAAGTTTGCTCAAGTCATTTAAAAAGATGCTAATACTATGCTCTTGGCTATGAAACATTACAATTTCTGTTCATGAACTTCTCACACATAGTGTAACCTCAAACTGAATTCAGAAAGAAAAAGAAAAAAAGGACATCAAAGAGGGCATCTCTCTCATGTAACGTAATACTTGCACTGGTAACCGCAGTTTTCTTGGCATATAATCATGCAACAGTAACTACAGTTTTTTTGGCATATGACCATGCACTTGTTTGCTATGGGTCTATAAAGTTAAAAGGTAGAGATGGAAATCCAAACTGTAAGAGAGGTGGAGGGAGATGAACAAAAGGATGTGAAGTGGCTCATAACTAAACAGAGAAGTCTAATACAGTAAACTTCCGATAATCCGGCACCTTTAGGACACAGGGGGTGCCGGATTATCAGATATGCTGGACTAT